AAAGAGTGGGGATTGTTGGAATATCGGGGGTAATTGGATATCCCCTTGAAAAAGTTGCCAATGCTTTAATATAACCTGTCTTATATCTCTGTTAAGTGGAGTATATGGCGTCACCAACGTAATCCTTTCCACTTTATCTCTGGCCCCTGTACCTGAAAGGGTTTCTTGTCGAGAAAGATTGTCTACCTTCTGTCGTTGGTTGTCGATTATATGTGTGGGATAACCTCCCTCTATGAATTTTTTGGCCATAAAATCTAAGCCTGTCATCACTTTATCCTCCTGTGATACTATCCTTTTTACCCTTAGCAATTGACTGAATGGTAACCCATTCTTTAGATGGATTGGATGAAAGCTCGAGTAAGTTAATAGATTGTTACGGTCAGTGGGTTTTATGTACAAATCGCTGTGTAGGCAATTTTGTACTCTCTGTACCTGAACATCTAAAAAAGGGACTGTAGTCGTATCACAGCACATAGTGAATTTGATATTCTCATCTTGTACATTTAATGACTCAAAGAATTCCTGTAGGTGGGCCTACAGAGATATAAGACAGGTTATATTAAAGCATTGGCAACTTTTTCAAGGGGATATCCAATTACCCCCGATATTCCAACAATCCCCACTCTTTGCATACCAGAGGGCCTCGAACCTGAGGGATATGATAGTAAGGTCAGATATTGGCAGTTCTAAGAAACAAACCAGATTTTTTTCAGAACCCAAGAAGGGTACTTTTCCATGCTTAAATTGCTCACACTGTAACAGTGTGATCAAGGGGGAATATTTTGTTCATCCCAGATCAGGCAAGAAATTTTATGTTAAAGAATTTTTTACATGCAACTCAGACTTTGTTGTGTATGCTCTTAAGTGTCCCTGTGGACTCCTGTACGTGGGGGAGACCATCAGGCCAGTGAAAGAGCGGATAGGGGAGCATAAAAGGAGCATTCGGGCAGCATTACAACACAATAAAGTGGAGGCTCCGGTACCCAGACATTTTAAAACACATGGTCATAATGTAAACCAATTAAGGTTTCAAGTCTTGGACAGAATTCCACCTCTACGTAGAGGAGGAGATAGACAGAAGCTCTTATTGCAGAGAGAAACAAAATGGATAAGTACCTTGGAGACTTTGTCACCATTAGGACTTAATGAAGACTATGACCTTAAACATTTTTTATGACAAATCTTTTCTCTTCTTTTTTTTCTTGTATTTATTGTCTGCTCTATGACTTTGTGCTCCCTACAGAGGCTCCCCTTGACCAGGTTTGGTCCAGTGCTCTTTCCTGCCTACATTTTGACCTCATTGGGTCCGCTACCTGCCATCAGTACAGGGTTCCCCACACATGGGACCCGGGGGCACGGTGGGGCATCACGAGACAGGTGAGTTGCATTTTTCTTAATTTTTTTTCTTTTTCCTTTTTTTCTATTTTTTAAAATATTTTTTCTTTTTTTCTTTTTCCCCTTTTTTTTCATTCTTTCGTTTTTTAACTTTTTTTCTTCTCATTTCTTATATTTTTTATTAGTTTTTTGAAAAATGCTTGTTCTATTTTTCCTTTGATGGTACGACATATAGACAATTGATTTCTCCTTTTTTTCTCTTTTTTATATATAGCTGGTTACTTTACTGGTTTATATCTACAGATATTTTTCTCTTGATCATCTGTTACAGGTGAGCTCTATAAGAACTATGCAGCAGTCAGATAGATTAATGAATAAATATCTAACAATTATTCTTTGTTTTTCATGTCCACCAACATTTTCTGGTTTATTACTCTTTAGATTATTGTGTATTAATTGATTTTTACTTAGCTTACTATATGTAATTACATATACATATATACATATACTCATTATCCCTGTAGTACCTTGTACTACACACTTTCATTAAGGTTTCATTCTTTATTTATGTTTCGTAAGTTTCCCTTATTTGTGTCAATAAGCAATATGTTTGTGAACAATAAAGTTAAGTTGAATACGTATGACGCAGCGACGCACGCTGACGTCAGAAGGCGGAAGTAAGTCCACGGAGTGGTCGCGGCGGAATTTGCCGCCCAGTTAGGATATTTAAACTGATATGCTTATACCTTGACAGAGCGGAGAGGAACAGGGGCCATCGAAGGGACAGGAACGTCCCGAGCGCGCAGCCCATTTCAACCCGTTTCCAGGATTGCCTACTTCCATGGATCATTGAATGACCTGTCATACTGACCAGATCCTGCTAAATGATTGATTGTCTTTCCACCAAACTACAAGCAGTTTCACCCTCATCCATTATACACCATCTACAGACCACATCATCCTCCTACTGAGCATACCTTAAAGCTATCTTCTACATTGGTGAGATCTACCCATAGACTTATGAAGCATATAGTGCACTATATTTTGGACTATTAGACAACAGGACTGTATGATAATTTATTAATTTTTTTCACTTTTTTTCTTTTTTCTTTTCAATTTTTCATTTTTTATTTATTTTTTACAGTTTTTTATTATTTTTTGAATTCTTTGGGATCATCTTCTACATCCATTCTTTGGATCATTAACCATTGTAAATAGATACATTACTCATGAAATTTAACATAGGGAGGATTTGCTGTGTATATATGTAAATATTTTATGTATATAGGATTGAAATGTATTCTACTATGATTGACTCTATGAACTTTTGAATTAATATTATAATAAATAGCTTTTGCAACTAAATATAAGATTAGACTTTACTGGAATTGTTTTGAGTGCGGTATTCACATTTGTTTTTCACATTAGACAACATACAGGAACTTATAATAACATATTTAACATTTTTATAAAGGGGTGGGAAAGAGGATAATTAACAAAAATATCTCTCCTACCTGCAGAATTAGCAATATGCAAATCTACCCTAATATTCAAATTGGCAAGCCTTGCTATTCAGGAAGTGAATATAGCTGTTGCTAGATCCTTGCAACCAACAGGTGGCGCTGTACGGGCTCCACAGCCAAATCTACGATATTGATTGCAAGCATTAGCAATACAAGAGAGCACAGTAACATTTAACCCCATTACACACATACACACACCCTGTACCCAATGGACACAGGGTGACTTAAACATAGGAATCACCCAGATACCTAATTGAATTGTCCATATTAAGCTCTGGGTGATGGTGAATACAATGAGTGGCAATTATTATTAGTATAGTGGTGCACAATGATGTGTCGAAGCATCAGTCCTGTCCCCCATCCTGTCACCAGGAGGAACTGTTAATACCCCTGACACCATCACACCAGTGTTAATTTTGGCAGCAAATTTCAATTAGTTTTAGTCATAGTCTTTTGACTAAAAAGCCATGTTAGTTTTAGTCATATTTTGCCCTTTCCCCAGCCCCTCTGTGTCTCTTGGTGTCCTACCAGCCCAATTAGGTGTCTCTCTCCCAAGCCCTGGTCTGCTTCTTTTGCCCCTTCAACAGCCCCTCTGTGCAGTGTTAATTCTAGCGGCAAATTAGAATTTAGTTTTAGTCATAGTATTTTAATTAAAAAGCCATTTTAGTTTTAGTCGTATTTTAGTCATCTGAATTGTTTTAGTCGACTAAATCTCAAATATTTTACTAAGATTGTTAGTTGACAAAATTAACACTGCACCCTGCACATCCCAAAGTAAAGATATTGAATGAGGCTTGGGTTGTAAGGATCTGACTTATATTACATCATTTGGTTAATGTTTACAGATATGGTTATAATGTATTAAGAAAGTGTGCGAAAGTATAAAACAAAAGTATTATCCCCTGAACATTAGCTAAATTGGTAGCAACAATCAGTGCTTCACCATACAAATATACTGTGAACACTTGTTGGTCAACACATGATAAACATCCATTTAAATGGCTTGAGCTTTTTTGGGGGTTGTTGTATCGAGATACAATAGATTAATAATGATCTTAGTGCTATTTTGCACTATTTTATAAGGAAAAAAGTCTTTCTACTTGCTTCACTTGTTTGTAGATGTATACACAAATATGGGATTCAGCTCAGTCACTATAAAAAAGAAATGTAAAAGAGATAAAAACAATAAATGGTAAAATATAAATGTATTTATATTTTAACATTTAATGTTTTTATCTTTGTTACCAGTGGAGGCTTATTATTGCCCAAATAATTTTTAATTTGTTCCTGACTTCATCTATTGTGATTCCTGTTCCTTGAATGGTTACTAATTCCAGCCAAGGAAGGAGAGTGGATCATTATAGCCCTTTGGAGGTCCTCAAGGTGCTGATTAATCTTACATCTTGTGAGTGTAATCATTAACAACTGCATTCACTTTGTATTACAATACATCACTATGTGCTGTTTCATTTCTTTTTTTATAATGACTGAACTGTATCCCATATTTGTGTGTGTGTGTGTGTGTATGTATATATGTATGTGTGTATGTGTATGTGTATATATGTGTATGTGTGTATATATATGTATATATATATATATATGTGTGTGTGTGTGTGTGTGTATGTATATGTGTGTATATATATATATATATATATGGGTGCTCTTAGGAAGCTATACAACATTAAGTGTTAATATCACACTCAACTTGTATTTGATGTAGGGGTGTGTTGTACCTCGTTTGTTTGCATGTATGAATATATATCTGTGTATCCCTTAAACATTTATCAAAAATGCTTCCTTTGGATTCCAGTGATTTACCGTGTGTCCCCGAAAACATGCCATTGGATGGAATCAGTTTGGCTGCTAAATGTATCTGCCATATTAATGTTTCTGATATTGTAGCTGCTTTGGTCTACACAGTAGAGGTTAAGTCAAATGGGAAATCTCTAAAGAATTCAACTGCCCGTCTTTCACAAAAAGGTAACACTCAGATTTTATTTTAACGCTGTCCATCAGCTGTTCCACCTAAATTGCTGTTATCTGGCCAACTGCTGCTCAACCTAACTTACCTGCTGCTATGATTGCTCTATGTGAACCTCCAGCTTCAAGCAAGCTAAGTTGAGCAGCAGTTGGTCAGATATTAGTAGAATCAGACCCAACATGGATGCTCAGCCCGACAAAATAAAAAAGAAATTCTAAAAAAAATATATATTTCATTAAATGTAATACACTTAAAAAAAAAAAAAGTGAAATATTGTCCTTTAAAATTAAACTGGTCTGCTGGAGCAAATCCTGGTGTCAGGATAGTGGTCTGGTGATAAGTGGGAGTCTTCAGCATGAGTGGATAAGTCAGGTTCTGGAGCAGGGTAACCGCACGCCCCCTGGTGTTGAGCACCAGCATTTGTGCGGCCACATACCAAAACCCTGAAGCAGCTACAGCGGATCCCAGGAACAAGGAGCAGGAATTAAGCAGACCTCCCAGAGCTGAATAAGGAGGCTCTGCAGCAAGAATGGATCCAGTACAGAAACCAGGAAAGGCTAGTCACCAAACATGAAAACAAGACAGAACTAATAGAACCCAGAACTAGAGAAGGACAGTAAGCTAAACCCAGAACATGTACACAAGACATGAGGGAAACATGAACATAACATGGGCAGGACTGTACATGGACTGGGAATACAAACTAAAACAAGACATATGAGAAGGAGAAATAACTAAGCACTATATATGAAAAGCATGGGAATTTAGTTACAGTATATGATCATACATTGCATAAGCCTGCCACAATGCCAATGTACCCCATATCTGGTAGGTCCTACTCTGCCTAATGTATGCTAAACCAACCAACCAAAAAAAAACCACACATAGTACTTACCTGCAAGAAAGGGCAGAAGAATTGAGCAGCTGCCTTCAGGACACTGAAACAAAAGGAAAGATGGAAAACAAACGGGTGTGGCAACATAAAACAAACATTTAAATGAATCCAAGAGACTGTGAAATCCAGGGACATAATATAGGAATGAACCCAGAAAAACCCAGCATAAAGAAAATTAGACATAGAATAGAAAACCAAAAAACCAAGAAAAACTAAACAAGAATTGTAAAAAGAGTACTGGATACCAGAAGCCATAGCCAGAATGATCCGCAGCTAGGAACAGGATGTGACACATGGTCAGAGCCATCCAGAACGTGAGACCTCCTCAGTTGAGTTGATTAGCTGCCACAAATGAACTGCAGACAAGAGAAAAGGGACAGTGGTTGAACAGTATAGGATGACAGAATCTTCTGAAATTATTAAAACTATTTTAGTAAAATGACCAAAACAAAGGATAGACTTTTTATAAAATTTAATACAATGGTGTGTTTCTTTCGTTTGAAGACAAAACCACCATTAATTTCTCTAAACATTATATCATTTGACTCAACATTATTCTGTAACAATGGACTTGCTGCCTCACCACTGTAATAATTACACAGTTACATTTTTCTTTTATATACTCATAGTGAAACCAAGAGCTCCTACCAACGTGACTGTTGATCTCAGTGAATTAGACACTGTAATAATATGGTGGGACCCTGGATATTCAGAGGAAAACTACCTGTACAATATGCTGTTCTTCTCTATTCAAATAACCTGCAAGAGTGATCCAACACAGGTAAATGTGTGTACACTTGTTTAACTCATTATTCAATGGAGATATAACTATTTTAATAGCGTACAGAAACACACAGAGAATGGGAATAGAGGTGACAACTTGCCTTATGGATAGTTAGATTCCCAAAAATATCACAGATGGGTTATAGCTCACTTGTGCTTGAAGTTAAACTATTAAATATAAACCCTCAACATCGAAAGGCCGTATTGAGACAGTAAGAGATACAGGATTAGTCAAAAACCCCAAACCTCAATATATGTGGACAATAGTCTGGAAATATATAGAGGCACTACATGGGAGTAAGTTAACAGTCTAGCATTTTGTAATATCAGCTCACCTCTAGTATCACACTAAATAAACATTAGATATGTGAGGAAACCACTTTTTCTGACAATATGATTTTTTTTCGGGACAGCCAAATTATGTTCATATGTCACTGTGGCTCAGCAAAATTTCAAAAACCAAATCAAGAGAACAAAAGAAGAGGGTGTGAAAAGGGGCCAATCAGTGTGCTGCAAAATATATAGATTATATAATATTATGTATATATTTTACAGTACGCTGATAGGAGCATTTTCCTACCATTTAGTTCACACATCAAGTGAGAAAAATTAAACAGAGAGAACAGGAGGAGCAGAAAAAAAAGCTATATTTATATATTATATATTTATTAAACATATAATATGGAAATATAGATTGTTTTACTGCGCTTCTATGTTTCCATCTATTACACATTATTAAATAAAATAAACATTTAGTGACTGTCCCCTAGCCATCATCTTTTTTTCCCATCAATGATCTTTTTATGACACGACGAGCTGAATTCAAAATCACAACCCTGAACCAAGCATGATCGGTATTGCATGGCTCAGTAGGTTCATGATTCAGGCACGTTTTGGGTCAGAGTTCGTGAATTCAACCTATCCCCAGATTAGCCCAAATTAGGCCGAATTTCAGTTTGGCCCAAAACAAATCTCCAAGGTCTAATAGCCATGATGTTCTAGGAAGTGTTACAGCAGACTTTATGAGAAGTTCTTCCATGAGAAGGCAAGCATGAGTGTATATATATTAAAAATATCGGCTTGGTAACAAGTGGTGCTTATAGCACTAAACAGATTGCTGCATTCTAATTTGATGCATTTATCTTTTCAGGTTAGAAATATTACCCTCAAACAAATAGAGGCATACTATACAATGAATAAAAGACAATTGAATAGAAGGTACGATTACATGGTTAAAGTTCGATCCAAAGCCAACAAAGGCTATAACGGGGTCTGGAGTGATTGGAGCTCCGCAGCTGAGTGGCACAATGGTAAGATCTTAAAAATTGGTTAGCTAGAGACAAAGGCTGTATTTATAGAGTAATTCTAGAGCAGAGTTCTAAAAATGTTGCAATCATAGCAATATAGTTTTAAAAAACTCTGATATCCATCAAGGTCATCATTTTATATATTTCGGTTTATTATGTCGATCCTGAAGATGAAAGAGAACCAATTTCTAATTGTTCCACAATAAGGAAAAACATCCCTTCTTGGTTCCATAGGCAAACTAAGTCATATGTGATGATACCACATATATTAACTATTAGATTTAAAAAAAAAATACATTCAGTCCTTTTAAATAATGTCTACAGAATCTGATAAAAACAAATCCTGGAAGCAAAGAATTTCAATTTATTTTTGTTCTTTCTGTAACTAATTCCATAGTCAAATCTCCCTTTTCGAGATTCACTGAATGCTCACTGTTTGTACAGTCCTGTTAATGAATAGGTCTCCAGAGACCCATGTTTACTAAGCCAGGTAACGAAATGATATTTTCAGCATATTAATGACCATTTTATACTAGCTAGCCTTTGCAGTTGCTGACTGACATAGCACATGGTTTTTGTTTTTATAAATCAATATCTTAAAACTATCATACATAGTTAGACAACGAGAGTGAGAACAAGTCATACAATGACACATAAGATCAAATGTGCTGTGTTCTTATACATTTGTCTTAAACCAGAGAGTTTCCAGTATTCCACAATCAGTTATGGTCATCCTCGTCTCCAGAGCTGTTAATGGTTGTGCTCATCTCTTGTATATAATTTGCTAAATATTTGTGGTTGTTTGACCATTTGGAAACCCACTCATCCCTGCGTAATTGGGGTCATCTCATGTGCAATATACATCATGTTTACTCTAGAGTCTAAACAATGTATCTACAAATCCTTATTAGCTTTCAGTAACCAAAACGTTAATACGCTCAGTCAGAAGAAGATTGCACATGGGACTTCAAACCCTCCCGATTGCTCAGTATTTATTACTCCCTCCCTTTAAGAAAACGGAGAAATCCAACAAGATTTGGAAATTAGTGAGAGAATTAATGAGTGAGATGAGTGACAGAATTGGGTGGCCCCTTTCCCCCACGCTCCTTGCCAAATTAGCCTCTTCGGGTAGTTGCTCCTGTTGAACATAGCACATTGTTGCCCAGTCTTTTGTCTGTATCTGTTCCCATTTAACCATATCCACCTTAATAAAATGGTCCAATTTTGTAAATTTGATTATAACTTTTTTTTTTTTTTTTAATGGGATTGGATTAAGTACATTAATTATAAATGACTTTAATATTGTAGCAATATATTCCAAGTGTTCACAATGTCCCTCTAAGATCTTTATTACGTAGCAGCCTTGTTTGGTTTTACTGCTTTATTACATCATTATAGCAGTAATATTTACTATATTACTTTGCATGTCCACGAGAAGTACCAAAAATTCAGGTCTTATAATTTCGATAATTTGAACAAAGCGCAAAACATTGACAGGAGATATGCATTTTAGGACAAATTAGTCAGATTGGAAACATTCTCCCCATCTATTTTTCCAGATCAGCTCTATTGGCCGATAACTTGCTATCCCTAATCAGTTCAGCACAACTAGTAAATAATCTTTTAAATATATCTCAGTTGTGGAGAACTGCAAACTGTAGAATAATATAGCTAACGAGGAATGACAGCTGTCTTTGAACATTTTAGGTCATCTGTTTTGCACTTAAATGTACAATAGTCTACTGAATTCTTTACAGTTCTCAGTTTAATGGATAGACACAAATGTCTTATTATCATGCATCTGTTAAGCACTCACTGTGTCTGAAATGTAATTAGCATTGCTAATCATCAATTAACAGTTTACTAATTGACTTCTATTATGTTAAATATGAAAACATCTACTTGCATTGCATATAAATTAATTGTCTGATTTCTTGAATATACAGATGGAGAGAATTGTTATGTGAATGTGTAAATTAAGCTTTGCCTGCAAAAGATAACTTTCCTTTTCATAGATTAGATGGACAAAAAATTACATCTTCACTGAATTCCCTTGTTGGTGTTGGCGAGATCTGTAAAAATAAATAAATAAAATACAATAAATATAAGTAATTTACATTGATAACTGTCCAATGTACTCTGTTAAGGTTATTTAATTAATACACTGAAAATAATACTGTACAGGAGAACACTATGTAAACGATTACTTTACATTATATAAAAGACTACAATAAATCTTAGAAAATCTAAAATAATCCATAAATTTACTACAAAGAGTGTATTCACAGAAAGTATATGCAAAACACCACACTGCGCCAATAAGCATCTCCCGTGGAGATGGTAAAAGTTGGACAGTCAGACAGTCACTAGATGGACTTCCTAGGTTCAGCTAAGCAAAGCTTGCATGTCCAATTTTCACCATCTCCACATCTCTAGAGGTGTTACTAGGCAGCTTGTACAGTAGTGATGTCGCGAACATGAAATTTTCGGTTCGCGGACCGCGAATGCGAACTTCCGCAAATATCCGCGAACCGCCATAGACTTCAATAGGCAGGCGAATTTTAAAACCCACAGGGACTCTTTCTGGCGGGTGGGGGCCATAAAGATAATGAGGGGGGGACCTACAGTACTCCCCCTCTTCGGCACCCACCCCTGTGCGGCGGGTGGGGGCCCTAAAAATAACAATAAGGGGGGGGACCTACTGTCCCCCACCCCTGAGCGGTGGGTGGGGGCCCTATTGTCCCCTCCCTGTCCCCCACCCCTGAGCGATTTCAAGCCATCCAATCACAGTGCTCCGTGTCATTTTACACAGCGTGGGAAAGTTCTTTGGAATTTTCCCACGCTGTGTAAATTACAAAGAGCACTCTGATTGGCTTAAACCCACCAATCAGAGTGTTCTTAGCCTAATTGCAGGGCGGGGCAAGGCTTTATAAGCCTTCCCCACCCTGCGGAGCTCAGTCTGCGCGGAGCCCTCCATGGGTGAAGATGGATTATTTTTTCGCTCTGGTTTTTCTTTTTCATCTGGTTTTTTTTGCCCTCAGGATTTTTTTTTAGTTCGACGGTTATGATGGTTTATTTGGCCTTTTTTGGGGCTGAAAAATGAAGATTTGAGAAAAAAAGAAGTTGAATGGTAAGTTTTTAATTTTATTTTACAGGTTAGTTATTTTAGTAGGTCCCCCCCCTCATTATCAATATGGCTCGCACCCGCCTCGCAGGGGTGGGGGCATAGGTCCCCTCATTATCAATATGGCCCCCCATTATCAATATGGCCCTCATTATCAATAGGTTGTTCATTTTAGGGGACAATAGGTCCCTCCCTATTAGTATTTAGGACCACCGGGGACTACTTTTTTAACAGTGAGCAGCCACGGGCAACTATAGCCCAATCAAAACTTTCCTGCTTTTTACGAAAATCATCAACAGAAAGAGGAGAGCGCTCATAGGGGAAAAAGAGGACGAGGTAAACACCCCATCCAAAATGAGGTTTGTTTAACCAAGGGCATTTTTAATCTTTCCTCATATACATTGAAACCAGGTGAAATATCTTTATTAAATAAAGGATTGAAATTTGCATCTGATAAGAAACCCAATATGTTTGAGCTCTGTGACTAGATCGTTCAATATAAAGGATACTAATGGCAACGAGGATTGCCCGGAGTTATTCATTAACCCACAGTACAAAATTTTTTTTCATAATCTTCTTTACCTCCTAGATAAACAAGACAAAAAATTCAAAGTAGATGCGTATGATATAGTAAATGCCAATATCTCTTCAGGCGTAAAACCACCATCTACATATTACCCACAAGCAGATAAAGAGCATTATATACAAACCTTTTATGAGTTGGTCCTGAGAGATTTGAGAATTCTATGTAATAATCTGGAGAAGACTAAAGGATGTGGAACCAATAATCTGAACCATAAAGAACTAGAGGCAATTAACAGTCTAAAGAATAATAATGATTTAGTCATCAAAGTGGCGGACAAAGGAGGTGGAATCATAATACTTAATAAAGAAGATTACTTGAAGGAGGCGTTGAATATTCTGGGGAATGTGGAGTATTATCAGGTTTGAAACACTGATCCCACAAGAACATTTGAAGAAAAAGAGATTTGATTGATTTGGTCTTTAATAGTGGCTCTCTGGACCAAAAAAATAGATATTTCTTGTCTGCCCCTGGTGATATTCCCATTTCTTTACTACCTTCCCAAGCTTCACAAATCCCCAGAAAGGGATCAAAGAGAAAGTTGATGTAAATGGCTTTCTTCACGCAGGGAGTGGACACCACCCAACATAGATTGCAAACGTAACTTTGGGGCAGTTCATCAGGATACGTCAAAATTGTTCACTCTTCACACACTGGCAGATTATGAGAGAGAGTCCTTCTCACTTTGCCAGCTTTTTGTGGAGAAAGCTTATCCATCAGGTCCCATCCTCAGAGCATATTTGAAAGCTGGGATGATGCAGAGAGAGGATCTCATTAATCCTACCAGAGCTAAATCTGAGCCATGCACACCAGAACCAATATGTCACACCAGATACCATGAAGCTATTTTCAGCTTATTAGTGGAATCTAGAGTTTCATGTAATAAGAGGGCTAAGTACAATATCAGTACGAAGGTGTGCCCTGTGCGAAAGGTCTTCGGGGCCCCCCCTTCCTCCCCCACCCCGAACAAGTTGCCTTATATATACAGTCACACACACAGGCAAAGGCAGAGAGTGAAACAAACAGTTACAGGCAGACAGTCACACATGCTCAATTACAGGCAGACA